GCCTGGCTCTGCCTCCCGAGTGCTGGGATTAAAGGCGTGCGCCACCACCGCCCGGCGTGTGGGGGATATTTTAAAATCATTGATTATCACAGAAAATCCTGGGCTTGGATTGACTAGTATGTTATGGAATACATCTAGGCAGAAATGCGTGTAGATTAAGGAGCCAATGATTTCATGGTTTCCTCAGTCTTTCATCAAGGCCCAGGGCATCCTGACTAAATCTCAGCCTGTGGCAAGCCTGACCCAGGATAGCCTTTTCTAAGGGGATTTTGAATGACTAGAGGTATTCTGAGTAGGAAGGAGGATGGGAGAAAAGTACCAATTGACAGATCTGTGGGAGGAGCTGTGTGCTTCCTGCAGTCTACACGGGGCAGGCTCATCCAGGGTGCAGTCTTCTGTGGACCTCACCACCCCACAATGAGGATAGGTGCTTGCCCAGTCTGGGCATGTTCGAATATTTGAGTATCCTGACAGTGACATACAAACCAAAACATTCCTACCTCGCCTCCGCCTCCTGAGTGTTGGGAATTAAAGCGCCGCCAAGTGCTGCTAGAAGGAATGATTTCCGGGCTCTGGAATGCAAAGGAAGTTGCCTTGTTGGATGGACAAAGTGATGGTTTAAAAAAAAAAAAATCAAGATTGCGTGAGGGGGGACTATCAGTGTAGTCAGAGATAAGAAATAAAGACAGGGTGAAGACCAAGATAGATTTCCTTCTAGAACATCATTCCTGAAGAGCTGGAAAATTCAGGGATCTGTATCCAGGGTGGATAAATGTTCAGTAGGTAGGGGTGAGAGTTAACATGGAAACAGTCATGAAGCTGCCACAGAGGTGAAGGAGGGTGCAATGATGAGGGGTGTGGTTTAGGTGCACACGTTTGTCGCTAAGGAGTGGAAGAACCCCTGTGAAAAGTTATGTGTTTTGCTACTACGGTGTTCTAAAGGAGGTCTTTGTTTCTTTTTCCAGAGATACACACACACACACACACACACACACACACACACACACACACACACACACTCCACAAGGTAAGTCTGACTTGTGTCTGTGAAGAACACTAGTTTTCAGTTCTAGCTACGTTGTGGTTTGTAGCCTTTCTTGCTTGCTACATGTTAACTCACAGAACTCTCCCCAGCTAAAGATTCTTGCTCTTCCTTTTGTCTTACAGGGAAAAGCGCCGTGGAGGAAGCAAGTAATTTGTCCTAGGTCCCAGGAGTAAATGTAGAGCCAGGATTTCTCTAGAGGCCTTATTATGCTGACATTAATACTGACATTTCCCTGTGTCATTGGTGGGACGCAAGAAGGAACTTGACATTTGAAAAGCAAGTACTCATTAAATTATTAATTTTAAAATTACTGTTATTATATTCTTTGAGTCGCTCCAAGTTTTTGTATGGAGCAGTCATCATTTGGACAAATCCTTTGGATTAAAAAAAAAGTTCCCTCGGCGAGGGGGTTGAAACTTGTTGAAGCCCGAGTCTCAGCGGCTGCGGGGCGGGGTCAAGACAGGAGGGGCGGGGTAGAGGGGCAGGACCGGGTGGGAGAACTGAGATCGAGGGCGGGACCTGGAGGAGAGAGGCGGGGCGAAGCCCGGCTGCGCATGCTCGGTGTGGACGGCCCCCTGCTGCCGCGGCTGCCACCGCCCACCAGGGACTAGGAGCGAGCTTCAGGCGGCAGCCGAGCGGAGAAGGGCCCCGCTGGGCTAGCGTACGGCTATGGCCCCGTGGCTGCAGCTCTGTTCCTTCTTCTTCACTGTCAACGCCTGCCTCAACGGCTCGCAACTGGCAGTGGCTGCGGGGGGCTCGGGCCGCTCGAGGGGCGCCGACACCTGTGGCTGGAGGGTAAGGCGAGGGTTTCTTTGGGCTCCAGGTTACCTGGGGGCGCGCGGCGAGCACAGGTGCTCGCGGGCGGGCGAGCCGGGGCCGCCCGATCTCCAGACGCCTGATTTGCCGTCCGTGGGGTCCCCGGCTCCTCCAGCCCATCCCCGCGTCTCGGTCCCTGGGCGCGCATCCGCTGGTCCCGCTCGGGATGAAAGGGGCCGCCGACCCCTGGCTTTGTGTTGCTAATGAGGCGCGGCCGCTGGCTGGGGTCCGACTCCCGAGGGCGGGTGGCTGGGCGGCGGGGCGGGGGCCGTGCGCCCCACCCTTTGTTCCCGGCCCTCTGCCCCAGGGCTACGCGCCCTGGACTGGGATCTTCCGGGCTGTCGCGGAACGGGTGCGCTTCGGAGACCGTGGCTCGTGTCCCGAACCTCTAGTCTACAGCTCTGCAAGGGCTTAGGGCATCCAGGGAGGGAACCTGGATGCATGCCCTTTAGTATTAGGGAACGATGCATCCCCTTTCTCTCAGTCGCTTTGTTCCTGTTCCTTTTAGGCAGCTCGGTCACCCTACGCCTACCCCACTGCCGAATCCTAACTTTCTGAGAGACTTTCCTTGCCATTCAGCCTTTCGTCTGGCTAATGGTCTCATGGTGCCACCACTACCCTTCAACACGTCCCAGCTTGAGTTGTAAATGTTTTCATGGCCAAAGGGCAGCAAAAGTTTGTCCGCTCCGCCAGGTGCCCCAGACCTGAAACTGGTGGCGCCCAGACTTACTCTGCGTGCTTGGAAGCCCTCTCCCCAGTGCGGGTGTTCCCGTGATGTTGTCTGGGTAGTGCGGTCCCCTGGTCTGCGGACCTTGAGCCTTCCATAGAGGCAAGGGCGCTGCAAGTCAGGCCGCTCACACTGTCAGCCCTATTGTGAGAACACAGGCTTTGCACTCAGGCAGTCCGGAGCATGTCTGGAATGCCCAGTCTCAGTTTCCTTACCTAGAAAGTCGAAGGGGGGTGGGGTATGTATGGTGTTGCTGATTTCCGCAGGGCTCCGGGACATGTTGGGACAGTTTGCTTAGACCAAGGTTGACTTACCTTTTCCCGTAGACTACTAAACAGCCTTAGTACAGGCAAGACCCAGGACAGGACACCTCTTAGGGACACTTAGTTCACTTGCTTCACATTTGAGAGAATCACAGTTCAGAAAACCAGGTAAGAGCGGGCAGCTACCGTCAACGATTCCCACTCTTTTCCTGTTTAGTAAACGCCGTTATTCTTTCTCGTTTGGGTGAAGCCTCACGATTTCTTACTGTGTTCCATTGCAGTAAAACAGCACTATTAGTTTTTTTTTTTGTGTGTGTGTTTTTTTTAACAGATTCCAAATTTCCTTAAGGCGATCTCATGTTGGCTTATCAATTCTAAGATTTTAGATCTAGACTGGTACTGGCAGTTGTTGCTTTTCTGTAGTTAACATTGGGTGTATAGTTGTCTCTGAAGAAGCCAAAGCAGTGTTTTTGAATGTATCCCTCGATAACCGCCAACCCCCCCCAAACTCCCATCCCCCCATCCCTGTGGATGTGGTCCCATCCCTGTTACCCAATTCTTGTCCACCTGGGAGTGATCCTAACAGCTCCTGCCTTGGCACCTGCTACAGTCCTTTCCTCATCTCCTTCCTGGATGAGCATGGAAGCTTCTGGGCCATATCCCAGATTCCAGGCTCTTTCCCGTGGTTCCTTTCCTTCTGTAATTGCTGCTTGGTACCTGTGTGAGAGCAGCCTGGCTTACCCCCTCTCCTCACACAGCAGTGTTTTCTGCCCCCTCCTCCCTCTCTGTTGTCTCGCTTCTGATTCCTTTCACACAGCCAGAGTGTGCTTTCCATCTTGACTGTTTTCTGCCCTGAGAGCTCCCTGCTTGACAGTCAGCTCATGAATGCCATGTCCCGTGCTTTACTGTCTTATTCAGATCCCTTACTCTTTGGCATTCACCAGTTTTGTGTGTTCAGTATCCTTGGTGGCCTCAAAGCCTGGTGCCCTATAGATCTTGGTTGAGGGCATGTAGACCGTGCAATCTTTCTGCAAAATCCTATGTTAAATGATTTGAAGGATTGGGAGAGCTGAGCCTAGTGCTTGAATACCAGCTACTCAGGTGGCTGAGGCGGCAGGAACAAACGTGGGGGGCTTGCCTAGGCTTCAGAATGAGTTTCAGGGCTAGCCTAGTCAACTTAGAGAGACCCTGTCTCCAAGAGAGAGAGAAGGAGGGAAGGAGGGAGGGAGGGAGGGAGGGAGGGAGGGTGCTGGGGGTGATACAGCTCAGCAGTGGAACATGTGCTTGGCATGCCTGAGGTCTGGGTTCATCTCCAGTGGGAGGCAGGCAGGGAGATCTCAGCACCAGGCTTCCATGTGCTCTGTCTTGTCTGCAGTAGGCCTTGCGTAGCGCTCCTGGCTGCAGCCACTTTGAAAGCTTGGGAAAATATCATCCTTTTGCCTCTTACCTTTTTAGTGTCTTCTCTCAGCTCCATCATGGCTTCCTTCCTGCAGGAAACCCTCCCTGCCCCCACCTCAATAATTAAGATGTCCCAGAGGTTGCTTTGTCGTGGATTTTTAGTAGGAGCTAGTGTTCAGAATCTTGGGTATTTGGGTCATAACTGCCTGTCTGTCCAGGTCTGGTACTCAGCCTGTGGATGTTGGCCCTTGACTCTGAGGTCACTTATAGTCTAGTTGGGTCTGTATAAATATATAAGAATAAAACTCAAAGGCTGAGGCAGGAGGATGGCTGTGATGAAGTCACCCCCTTCCCTCCAGAAAAAAAAAAGCTAGGAGGGGAGAGGGGGTGTAGGAATTGTAGCTCATTGGTAGAGAGTGCTCACCTAGCATCCTACAGGGTCTGGGGTCATTCCCCATTGCTTGGAGAGTCAGGGGAAAGATAAGAAATCAAGATGGGTTGAGAGGTTCTACAAGCATTTAGCACCCAGAAGGTAGTGGTCGGCAGATCTCTGTGAATTCAGGGTCAGCTTGGCCACATATTGAGCTCCAGGCCAGCTGAGGATACATAGTGGGACCCTACCTCAAACAAACAAAAATAAGGAATGAGAGCAAATTATATGTGATTTGAACAGAAGTGGGTATCCTGGGGTCTGAGTGTCACTTAGAACCTTGAGCCTTGACGCCTGAAGACAGGGCAGGGTCTGGACACTGGAGAACAGATGAATGAATGTCCCGCTTAATCTCCACAGGGCATTTGGGCCCGAAACCCAGGCCGTTAGAGGACTGGATATTTTCCCAGGAATTAAAGGTGCAGCAGCCAGGAGAGCTGCTCTCAGGGGCCATGGGCTGGCCTCATTTAAGTGGTCAGGTTTCACAACCTCCCTATTACTTGTGGGGTAATTAAGGGGCTGATACCATCTCGAACACAGCTCAATGTTTTAGAAATGAGTTTGTGGGCACACTTCCTCAACTATTTGAAGGGAAAAAAGCCCTCAAAGTCTTTGCCAGGTAAAGTTGTGCTTTGAATAATAAATATTGTTTTTTCAAAGGAGTAACAATTTGTGAAGTTTCCAGAGGGGCCGGCTCCTGCGTTGACACTGGCTTGAACCCTTACTCCTTACACTTCTTCTCCCTCGTTCTTTCTTATTTTGGTTGTGTGAGACAGGGTTTCTCTAGGTAACAGCCAGGGCTGTCCTGGAACTCACAGAGATCTGTCTGCCTCCAGAGTTCCTAGATTAAAGGTGTGCACCACTACTACCGCCTGACACTTTATTTTTTGATATGTGTGTTTTATTTAGTTGATTTACTGGATTCGGCTGTGCAGGTGTGCACTCAGGCAGAGGCCGGAGGATGTCAGGTGACCTGTTCTATTACTTTGTTTTATTCCCTTGACACATGTCTCTTACTGAACCTGGAACTGGGCTGGGCAGCTGGCAAGCCCCGGTGATCCTCCTGTCTCTGCTCCCCTCGGCACTCACGGTGTTACAGGCCTAGCCACCTAAGCATGAGTAGCCCATGTTTGACTTTTCATTTGGGTGATGAGGATTCGAACTCTTGCTTGCCGAGCCATAGCTTGTGCCCATTGACTCATTTCCCTAGCCTCAACTCTTTGATGGAGGAATGGTTCTGTTTGTGGTGGGTACCTTTAATGGGTCAGTCCTTCGTGCTGGGAGATTCTGAAACCTCCCCTTTTCTTGCTGAGAACAGGAGTTCCAAAGTCAGGCTTTGTGGGCCGTACCCATATAAACACTTGGGAGGCAGAGCAGGAGGACTGAGCGTTCAAGGCTAGCTTGGGGGCCATATTGTAAGTTCTGGGCCAACGTGAATTATTACATAACGGGACCTTAACTTAAAGAGGGAGCAAGCTGCCGGGCGGTGGTGGCGCACGCCTTTAATCCCAGCACTCGGGAGGCAGAGCCAGGCGGATCTCTGTGAGTTCGAGGCCAGCCTGGGCTACCAAGTGAGTTCCAGGAAAGGCGCAAAGCTACACAGAGAAACCCTGTCTCGAAAAACCAAAAAAAAAAAAAAAAAAAAAAAAAAAAAAAAAAAAAAAAAAAAAAAAAAAAAAAAGAGGGAGCAAGCAAACAAACAAACACGTGAACCAAAAACCTAGAAATCCATTCTCACAAATTTCTGTTTAGTAGGTGTTCCTGTGGGCCATTTCTGGTCTCCTACCCTAGATGGCGTACATATTCCCTGGTCTATTGTGTCTGAACTACCATTTCTAAACCCCTTCCCCCAAAAGACTGTCTTTAGCAGTTCAGAAACTGTATGCTGGCATCACACAATGAAGTACAAGTTTCCCATTTAAGGCAAATATTTCATCTCCAAAGGTAGAAAGGAATAGGGTAGTATGGGGGGGGGATGTTCCAGCTGGTTAAAATTTAGGCCCCTGATAAAAGTCCAATCCAAGAATTCTTCCTGGCTGAGAGCCCAGGCATGTTTATTTGATTCTGAGTTGGATGCATTCACTTGCAGCTCATGACTCCTAAGCCCCCTATCTGGTCTGCTTGTTCTGTGGTCATGTGGACCGCATCACAGATGTCCCTGTGTCAATTACAGACTTCTTAGTTAAAAAGTTATTTTAGTTTTGGGTTGGCACCTTTTTCTAAAAGAGCTGGTTGTATGAGACATGCCGCGCTTTCTTCCAGCCTATTTTGCAGTTGATTAGGAGCCTACCTGGCCTTTGTTTCCTTTCTCTCCATCCCATCCATCTACTCTGAAAGCTCCTGAAGTACTGGGACCACTGTGCTGGTTACCAACTCAGGGATACAGCCAGGTGAATGAGTGAGTACTGCTTTAGAGCATTATTTCTTCCCAAACCTGGTTTTTCAAAGACATATCCAGAAGCTTCTGATATCAAAATTGCCTTGGGAACTTGTTAGAATGAAGATTCAGGGCTAATGGCACCAGAGTAAGAGTGTAGTAGAGCTCAGGAGTTAGCGTTTGGACAAGGGCCTGGGGTAAGACGATTCTGGTGCTGTCTCAATGATAAGACACATCACTTTAGTGACGGGGTCTCCAAAATCAGAAGAGGAAGAGAAAATACTTTTAAAATATTTAAAATCAGTCATTTGGGCTTTAAATTATTTCACTGGACTTAGACAACAGTACCAAAAGTGAGGCTATTTGGAGAGTGGGGGTTGTGTTTCTGGGGAGCTAGTTAGGCAGGGCATCCTGGCTTGGGTGGGGTCCTCTGGTCTAGGGCTAGAGAGGAGGCCTGGGAGAGAAGGTCACTTGACACTTCCACAGGGTTCCTCTCCAGAACAGCTGGGTTTGTCTGGAAAACTGTCTGAGGAAGGAGCAGGGCAGGATCCAAATCTGTCTCGGCAGTTCAGACCCAACAGACAGCTTCCCTACAAAGGAAAGAACCG